TTAATTATAGGAATTGATTTAGGAAGATGTTTTCTATTTATTGCAGCAGCTTACTGTATAAATATGCCGATTAGCAATGGAATGAAAGTAGATCAGTTTTTTACCATTGCAAAACATTGCATTACCTTAGTTTAGCTGAATTAATATTTTTGTGGTTTAGCTCTCCTCAAAAAATCCTTTATTGGTCTTTCTAGCACTATTCGATCCCCTTACATTCCAGCTAATAATCTCATCTCAACTCCTTTTGTGAACAAGCTCTACTCACCTTTATCTTCCTCCCCTCCTCTCTCCTTCCCACTTCCCTCCTTGTTGTAATTAATATTACACTTTCAATCTCTCACATATTTAGAAGAAGTGACCATCACACCCATACTTTTCTTCAAGCTCAATAGTTGGGTCCTTTGGTTGATCCCTATCGTGGTTCTCTTCCTGCATTGGTTTAATGGTTTGGTCCTGTTATACATGGAGAAAGTGTCACCCTCCTCTCCACACCCCACAATCTTCTCTAGCTCAGCATTCACCATCTCACTAAAGATGGTTTGGATTAGCTCCCAAATAATCTTCCCCTCTTTGTAGTTTGTACTGTTCCATTTTCCCCTAAACCTCCTTGCCCTGTGTGACAAGATAACCTGTGGCACCTTGTAATTGTATACAGTAATAGAAGGTGAGGCACAAAACAAGAGTAAATTCAATGAAACAGTACTTTGAGTAGGGAATGATGCATGGGAGAGATTTAGATGATATGAACTCAAATACAAGAAGTTCCAGAGCACGTACATGTGAACTATCAAGTTCACCTAATGGTTTTGAGTTGGGAAACATCCCAGTATGCACTGTGAGGACAACCAAGGTGTCGATCATCCCCTTCATCTTTCCTATTCTGCACTAAGCTGGGTCTATCACCCTATCTACATACTCCCTACTTATGATGTTCCATCTGAGATTGAATCTTCTCACCAAAGGTTCCTGGTGGTGGTCTCCAACCCAGTTTTTTATCTCTACCTTTCTCCCTGGGTTATCGATCAGTTAGTCTACATCAACTCATATGATTGCACTGTGCATTGGATGATGAAAGATGAGTCTTTTCATGGAGTAGGCCTTCAATATTCTTGTTTTTCCCTCCTCTATTTCCTGTGGCCCATTTGGATTAATACTATCAGAAAAAAGAAAATGTCAAGTTGAAAAAGAAGGGCATATGGTTTTCCACATATTACCTAAGACCAGATATTTACACAGGAATAGTATAATTGTACACTAATAAACTAGTATTATCAAAAATTTTACTCATTGAAATCGCGTTGAACTTGAAAGAAGTGCGCAGCCATCCCTACGTCATTACTGTTGCCAACCCTAGCTTCCAATGCTTCCAATATATGGATTCTCTGCATGATAAAGAAATATTGAGACTTCATGTACAATAAGAACAGAAACAGAAACTATTCCACTAGTTATCAAATCAATAAGCTAACTGCCCAATAAGTAATATCAAAAAGCAAGAAGCAGCAGAAAACCAAAAAAAACTGAAGGTTGTAATATAATACAATAAAGAAAATATAGCATGAAATGAGACTAGGAAAATGGAAGCTACCCAGGCAAGAAACAATTTCTTCTAGCATGTCATAATGGCTATAAGATTAAAAAAAAATGATCAGCGGCTATAACATAAAAATTGATATAAGCACAATAAGAACTAAAAGGAAATGTAATAAATCATTGTCTAATTTCCAGCCCTTTCAAAACTAAGGAGTAATAAATACAGCTGATTCTCAATGATCCCCACCATAGTTGTCAAGAGTGCCTAGGTGACAAGGCGCCCTTGGAGGGTCGCCATGCCTAATCACCAAGTAGTTTTCTATAGCGTGTTATAAAAAACTTATATTCTTAAATTTTTGAGGTTATAATTATAAAATAGACGTTTTTAAACTAAAATATTCATTTTGTATGCTTATATACTAATTTCTTTTTATTATTTTCTTATTTGTTAGGGTTTAATCAACACAAACATTGCTAAATGCTGGATTGAACCCTCAAAGACTGAACCAATAAGTAAGGAAGAACATAAAATGTTGTCCAATCAACACATTTTCTACAACAGAAATAGGGGTTCAGCCCCTATATTTTTTGAATTTTCTTTTCTTTCTTCTTTTTCTTCTCATGAATATGTTGGAATATGTTGATTTTCTATACTTTAACATGAAGTTTATACTTTTCTTATGAAAATTATGGATATCTATTAAGGAAATATGATTATGGAACCTAGGGAACTACCCTAGGATACATGTTTTTACTTAAAAAAAATCCACCGCCTAGGCGCCCACCTAGGTGACTAAGCAACAAGGCGCCCCCCTATCGCCTAGCCTCGCCTTGGCACCTTGAAAACTAATGATCCCTACCAGTTCCCTAGGTGAGAGAAATATGAAAATACAGCAAATGCACTTCAATGCAACTCAACTGAATAGATGATCGACAGTATCACCATTTTTCTTGCATCAGGTGCACACAAGGACATAATAACCAAGTCTTCTTTCTCCATTAGAATAGTGCTAGAGAAATATGGGTTATTGAGAATGCCTATAGAACTAGAAATTTCCCTTGCTCAAGGTTTCAACCGTATCTATTTTTACTGTATACCTCCATACAAAATGCTTTGGAATGTTTTTGAGTTTTCCATTTATCTTACAACATTAATAATTATTGCTTCCTATCACTTGTTTAATATTCTTAAATGTTTAAATTCAGATTTAGAAGAGAAAGAATAAAAGAAGAGAACGAAAAAAGAAGAAAAACTCAACTAGTGTGAGCTTGTCTTACACTACGGGTCCCAAGCCCAGATAGAGGGTTGTGCCAGGTTGGTAGCCGGCACTAAAACTTTTGCCAAAACTCTCATAAATATAGATCCTAATTTGTCTTTTCATGCTCATGCTAGGGTGTTCTTCAGAAATGACGCACTACACACTAACCCAAGCGTAGTGTTTAGTGGGGGGTTTGCTAGGATGGTCCCCATGAGTGACACACCATGGCAAAGCCTTGCTCTGGTGTCAAATAGACAAGGGTTCCCACATCATTCTGGACAGGGGCAGGTAAAGAATCTAGTCCAAGAAACATGACTTTGTTTAACCACTTGGAATGTAGGAACATTAACTAGAAAAACTATGGAATTAATAGACACCATGAAGAGGAGAGAAAGTTAATATTGCATGCCTAAAAGAAACTAAATGGAAGGGCAAAAAAGCTAAAGAAATTGATGGCTACAAATTATGGTATACGGAAAAAGTGAATAACAAAAATGGTGTAGCGATAATAGTAGATAAGGATTTAAAAAATCAAAATTATGTGTTAAAAGAATTGGGAATAGAATAATTTTAATTAAACTTGTTTTAGGGGAGGAAGTCATTAACATAATTAGTGCTTATGCACCTCATGTGGGATTCGAAGAAAACATTAAAAGACAATTTTGGGAAAACTTAGAAGTATTAATCCAAGAAATTCCAAATGAAGAGAAGATTTTTATAGGAAGAGACCTAAATGGTCCTGTAAGGAAAAGAAATGTAAGATATGATATGGTACATGGAGGATTGGATTTGGGGAGAGGAATGAATCAGCAGATACAATATCAGATGTTGCAGTAGCTTATGATATGGCAATTTTAAATACATTTATCCAAAAGAAGGATGAACACTTAATAACATTTAAAGTGGATCAAACGTAAGTCAAATAGATTTTTTCCTCACTAAGAGAACAGAATGAATAATGTGTAAAGATTGCAAAGTTATTCCAGGAGAAAGCTTAACAACACAACATAGATTAATGGTGGTAGATGTGCACATTAAGAAATGGAAGAGAAATGGGGAAGAAAATAGGTGTCTAAGAATTAGGTGGGAAAACCTAAAAGGAGAAAAACTAGCTCAATTTAGAAACAAGTTGATAATAGAAGGGAAATATAATTTAGAAGGAAAGATTAATGATATTTGGCTTGAAATAGCAAACATTAAAACAAAGTAGCAAAGAAGGTCTTAGGAGAATTTAAAGGGAAATGGAAAAATACTAAAGAAACTTGGTGGTGGAATGAAGTCGGATTAAAACGAGCATGTTACAAAGAACGGAGGAAAAACTAAAAATGTAAAAAATTGGAAAAAAATAAACTATAAGAACGGAAGTTAAAAAGAAAGTGAATGAAGCTAATGTAGGGCTTATGATGCACCATAAATTAGGCACTAAAAAGGGAGAAAAAGGAATGCATAAACTAGTAAAGTTGAGAGAAAGAAAAGGCAAAGATTTAAACCATGTTAGATGCATTAAAGATGTAGATCAAAGAGTCTTGGTAAAATATGAGGAAATCAAACAAAGATGGAAAAACTATTTTGAAAAATTATAAAATGAACAACAGGGATAGGGTGCTAAATAAGGTTAAAAATAATACATACTTTCATAGAGTTAAACCTACTGATGTAAAAGAGGCACTAAATAAGATGAAGGGAAAGAAATTAGGACCTAATGGGATTCCAATAGTAGTGTAGAAAGGTATGGGAGAGGTAGGCTTGTTATGGGCTAACTAAGCTATTTAATTAGATAGTAAAAGATAAGTTGATGCTTGATGATTGGAGAAATAGCAGTATGGTGCCTATATTTAAGAATAAAGTTGATATACAAAGTTGTAATAACTACTGAGGGATTAAACTCATGAGCCACACTATGAAACTTTGGGATAGAATAATTGAACAAAGATTGCGACTTGAAACAAGTGTTTCAGAGTAAGAGAACCAAATTGACTTTATGCCAAGGAGATCAACCATGGAATCTGTATTTCTTTTGAGACGATTGATAAAAAAAGGCTTATGATAGTATGGTGAGTCTTGGAAATCAAGATACACTTAGGATTGGAGACCAAGAGGTAACTCAATGTGACCATTTTCAGTACCATGGTTCAATAATCCATAACAAGGGATAGATTGAGGAGGATGTCACCCAAAGAATTAAAGAAGATTGGGAAAAATGGAGGGGTGCATTTGTATAAAACTGTTGTAAGACCAACTATGTTGTATGGAGCAGAGTGTTGGGCAGTCAAGCAACAACATGTTCAGAAAATGAATGTGCCAAAAATGTGAATACTAAGATGTATGAGTGGAAAAACTAGAAAAGATAGGATCAGGAATGAAGTCATCCGTAGAAACCTAGGAGTAGCACAAATAAGTGATAAAATGAGAGAGTAGGCTAAGATGGTTTGGTCACATACATAGAAGACCGCCAACAACTCTAATTAGAAGAAGTAATTTGTTACAAATGGAAGGGGCTAGAATAGATACGGGTAGACCAAAAAGGACGTGGATAATAGTAAGAAGAACTATTTAATAGTGGATACGGTTTTAAATAGAATGGAGTGGTGAAACAGGATTCATGTAGCCAACCCCATTTCGTTGGGATAAGGCATGGATGATGATGATGAGGAGGAGGAGGAGGAGGAAAAGAAGAGAAGAATATGGAAAGAACCAAAAACTATGAGGCATCAGCCTCTATTCACTTATATATGCAACTGTACAAGGTAGTAATACAACCAGTATACTTCTGGTCGTGTGACTCCACCAAGCAGCTTTATAGCACAGCTAAAATTAAGAAACAGAAAATACAAAATAGAAACAAATATAACCCAATAAAAACAACAGCAATCAGCACCATAATTCATCTCAAAAAACTCCCACAAGTTAAGCATAGAAGTTAGGGACCAATTGGGCCACCAAACCATCTAACCGGATTTCAAGTTAATTTGGAAAGGGTATTGGTGAACCATGTTGACCCAAACCAGATCAGACCATTGAACCATTTGATCGGGTTCAAGTTCAGGCTAATTCGAGTTAGGTATGGTTGCACCGTATTTCAAAAATACAAGTATTTAATAGAGAAATTTCATATGAATTAGCTACTAAGGAAGGCTATAATTTTGTACCATTTAGATTTCAATAGTAAAACCAGGTGGTGCCTTGATAACTATGACACTCACCCTCTTGGTATTATTCTTCCTAAACCTCTGGGGTATGAGATGGGAGTGAAGCTTCCAACAAGACTCATGAATGTGCTTGGGCTTCTTAAAAAAATCAAACGCTTCCTTCTCATCAGTACCATCACCCTTTTCAGACATCTATTGTACCTTCAACGTAGTTGTAAAAGGAGCAAAATGACAAAACATAGGCATGAGAGAGAGTCACATCATCCCTGGTAAAAAATGTGTTGGCGTGTAATGCCATACTCTAGATCAGCCCACCCAAAAATTCAAACACTTGATTCCTCTCTACAAGCTTCTTGTAAGTTAGTACATCCTTGGGACTCCCAAATTATGGTTTCCAAGAGATGAATTTCTTGCTACATAGATTTCAGGGTAGATAAATAC